AGAATAAAAGTTTTAAATCAAGACATTGACATTGGAAGTCAGAAAAGATGTTTTATCCTGAAAGGTCCAAGTCAGGTCCTGAAAGTGCAGATTGGTGAAAAAAGTATTGGAAAGACGCGAAAACCTTTGATTAAACTTTTTAATTTTCTTATAATAGTAATATGGTAAATTGTTTTAAAGATAATGTATCTACCCCGTTTTTAGGAGTGACCCCGTGGTCTGGGGATACTGAGAACGAGCCATGAGGTCACTATCTTGCAAGCCACTAAGTAAGTTCCCGCGACTCGCATGATAGCCTTTAAGCAGTAACAACTAGATGACCATATGTTATGAGGACCATTTTGAACTTGCCTTGGTAGAGACGGTAAAAAGCACGTGAAGCTCTATCGTGACGCTAGCCAGTCGTTATCTGATATAGTTTTACTTTCCGTCGTTATATTGTAATAAAAATGATATTATTAATAATACTAATAATAATCATAATAATGATCCTAATCATAATAAAGTTTTGTGACACTTTTTTAAGAGTGTGTTTCCAATTTTATCGGGTCCGGTTGATATTCAATGAAGTTCAAACAATATGTCGCTTTTTCGTTCTTCAGTGTAGTTAGCTGTGTTTAGTATGTTATTTTGTTCTTATACAGGCATATTAGATTTACTGAAGACCGACGCGAAGTATTGATTAAAAACTTCAGCTTTTTCAACATTTATTGACGCTAATGTCTTATCAATATTTACTGTTGGGGGAATTGAGGGTCTTTTTCGTAAACATTTCAGGTATTTCTGTATTTTATTGAACGTTGTTCCTTCAAATACTGATTTTTCATATTCAGCGTGGTATTTCTCGGATTCAAGTTTGACTTGCTTTTCAAGGCGTTTGAGTTTAATCAATTTGCTAAGAACTGCACTTTTTCGTTTTTTCATTGTTTTCAGCTTATTCATAAGATTTGATGTAACATTGGAAATCCAGGGGTTAGCTGGTATCTATGTTTGGTAATTTTTGGTATGTGTTTATCTCTTTTCTTACACAACCATTCGTACCATTCCTTTAACAATTCATCTACATTACTATAGCAATACGGTTGAAAGGATTCCTGGAGGACACTTTTAATAAGTTCGTCCCAGTCAGCCTTGTTAAAAGCGTAATTTATATCAGTTACTGCAAATTGCGTTTCATCCTTTTCGAGGTCGATGGTTGTAACAATTGGTTTATGGTCGGAAAAACTTTTGTCGTTTTGCATAAGATCAATCTGTAAAATATTATCATATTCGCAGTTGATCATGTAATCTGGATTATTGGCTAGGACGACGTCTAACTGATCAATCGTGCATTTTTCTACAAGTGCATCAATTATTTGTTTTCGTAATCAAGATTTGATGACATAGTTAACCAGTTCGTTTCTGATAGATTTAAGTCACCTGTTAAAATGATCAGATTACATTGACACTCCTTTGCCTTAAGCTGAATATTTTCTAATAAGGTTTTCAAATCCTTAATTTCCCATTGGTAGACACTTGGGTACGGAGCATTGTATATGCAACAAAGCAAAACTGCGCTGTCTTTTTTAGGTTTAATTTTGATGGGTATAAAATCGGAATGTTCATTTTGTAATGGGAGATGATCGTGAAGAATGTCGTTTTTGATTGCAATTAACACTCACCATCTTTTGTTTTACAATCATCATCTGTCATTCGATCTTTTCTATATACCTGAGAACTGTTTAGGAAAAGGGCTGGTGATGGGATAACACAAGTTAACCAAAAATCTGTTAAGCATAAAATGTCGTAATCGTGTGTATTTAGAGTATTTGAAAACTTTGTTCTTCTGTTTATATCTACTAAGCTTCGATTATTAAAAGTCAAAATTGAGATTGTTGCTAGACATTTTCCGGTTTCTGAGTCACTTGTCTCATTGCCGTAAGTGCTTTTTTCTAATGGTATCTACTTATTGTTTTCCATTATCTCAATTATGAGATTTTTTACACGAATATCTTTCGAGGTTGTTTGATTTTCATCACTCTCGATTAACTCAGGCATTCGTTTTGCTTTTTGGTATCCGTACTATTTAGTTCAGGATTTACATAGACGGGTTTTTGATAGGGAAGGTAATCTTTAAGCGTGTGTGCAGACCTCAGTATAAGGTCGCGGCTGATTGGGTTTTCAGTATTTACCAGGAGTGCTCTTGGTTGTTGTTTAATTGCGTCATAATTACCGAGTCTTTGCGCCTCAGTAAGTTTTTTATCTTCGACGTTGAGATGTTCAAGAAACTTTTCTACTTCGGCTAAATCAGCATGTAATCTATCATCAGCCGAGCTTGAGCTTGATTCTGGTCTACCTCGTATAGATACTCCTAGCGTAGTTTTTTCGGGAATTGAAACTGATTTTCCAAGATTCACATTTCCTAAGGATTGTTTGTATGTTTGGGTATTTTTTTTTCACGTTTTTGACTTCCAATTGAACATTTGTAATGATGTTTTTTGACTTTTCAGTTTTATCGGTTAGGGTTTTCATTTGGTCCTGAAGTTTTTTCCTTTGATTTTTTGTTTCGTTTTGAAACTTTTTCATATTTTCGTCTATTTTTGTTTCCAACTTTGATTCCAAATTTGACAAAAAAATCTTGTTTGTTTGGTTCGCAACTATTGCAGATGTATATAAGATTGTCGTTAAGTTTTATGAGAACTTCTATCGTATTCTTTTCAAACTCAGTACACCCTGTTGTTAAATGAAGTGTTTTATTACAAATGCAACAAACGAATTTGATGTCATTTTCAACTTTCCTGTAGCACGTAGCGCAGTTAACATGCGTCATTTCACTTGAATGAGTTCGATTGGGAGGAGAACTAACTAGAGGAGAAACTAGAGGAGAACTAACAAATTCTACCTGTGAGCCCCTGAAGGGACCTTTGGTAGATTAAGTTAGTCTGTAACGGACACGTTAAGATAAGGATACAAAAAAAAAAGATTGATGTATACTTGAGCTACCAGTTTCTGCAGGTGCACTGACAGTTGTTGGTGGGGCACTCTTGTTGAGTAAAGTGTCCGTTGTCCTTCAAATGCTTCGAGTATTTCTGATACAGATTTTTCACCTTGATGAGATTTTTCAGGTTGTTCAGAGCGTCTTTGTTTAGATGGTAGTGATCGTTCGTAAAATATCTGTTACCCGTAATAAAATTCGCAACGTTTCTGAATTTCCACTTGACCTCGACCTTCGTGTTAGATTTCCTTTCGGCTTTGGCGAGAAGAAGATCGTTAACCGATTTTGATCTTGTTTTGTTTTCGTCACGCTCCGGTACACCGATGACGAATACGTTGGAAGCTCATTCACAAAGGAATATTGCTAAGTCAACAATGTCGTCGGCTAATTGGGTAGCTGGGTTTGAAGTCGGTCGCGTGTAGTTAAACAGATCATTTCCTCCGACAAAAAGAATGACGAGGTCGAACAGATTATGAGGAGGCAGATAATTGTAAAAGTGGCTTACACTGGCACTGGGTAGTGACAAGACGTTCAAGTTTCCTGCTCGAAGATGTATGGCCTGGGAATCAGCAATTAGGAGTTGTCTGGTTGGAGAAGTCTTGTAGATATGGTATCTGGATCGTTTGCTATTTTGTGTTCTACTTGCAAAAGACATTCAGAATCTTGTCTCTAAAATCCCTCCTTTGAGGCCCTTCCACACAAGATTACAGACGTTCAACATGAAAAACACTATTTAATGAGTTTATCCGGGCGAATGTTACAACTCCGTCAATGTGCAATGTCTGGGCAGTTGTTACAACAATAAACTTTATAGGAACTAAAGTAAGTTTTGCAATTCTTAGGAGTGCAACTCTCTGCCTCAAGGGATGCAAAAAACTTAAAAATACATTCAACATAGACAATACCTCAGTGTTATAATCGTGGAGGTTAGATTTCAACTGAGAATTATCTGGATGCTTTTAAATCGATTTCATTTCAGCATAAAGTTTTGCCGATGTTTTTTGGTGTGGCCCAATCCAACCTGTTCACGGACCGTCGCATGACTGAAGGACCCATTTCACTTGACCTTTTAAAAAATTTATAACTACAGCCATCTACTATCTTCAATTAACTCGTGTTAATTTTTACTTTCCCTAATGTATGACATTCCAATGATTTTTCGACTAGGTGAACTGATGTCAGATTAGTGCAGTAAATTCGGTTATCATGATAATATCTGAACTTCTGATTTAGCTTGACAAGAAAAAGAAACATAAGATAGAATATACGTAGTGCATTTTAAATTCCGCCCAGTATATTTTGAATTAAGTTTTCTTTTTTGTCTATGCATTAAAAATGATCTTACCGCTTGCGAGTGGAAAAAAAGTAGCAACACTTGGAGAAGTGCTAAGCGAGTTCCAGGGGAAATCCTGGAAATCTACAACAACAACAACAACAACAACAACAACAACAACAACAACAACAACAACCTCAACAACAACAACAACAACAACAACAACAACAACAACAACAACAACAACAACAACAACAACAACAACAACAACAACAACAACAACAACAACAACAACGTACTTTTGCTTCATTTGAGGCCTCTGCTCTATTAAGATGAATTTGTTCAACAAAATGATATTTCGGAAAATAAGTCTAATTAATATGTGCAAAAATAGCTTTTTTGCCAAAAAAATTAATTTCCAGTCCTTCTCTTTCTAACTAATTGTAAGTGTCCGACTGCCTTGACAGAGGCATTACTTGACGCTTTCGTTGACTCTTTACTAATAACACACCCCTTTCCGCCTGAAGTCATATAGAAACATCGCAGACTTTACAAAAATGGCTGGTTGTTGTTTCAGGTATTTTATGGCAGAAGATTCTAAAATAGCTAACCTAGATGATGCCTAATCTACAAAAAAGGCACTTTTGAGAGCAGCAGGTAAAAAGCAGCAGCAACGAAAGCCGTAGTAATTTAGACAAACTAAGTTCTGCTAGAAGTTGGTTATGAACTGAATGCTTTTTGATTAGTGTAAGGTATTCCTAAAGGACTCTGAGAGAAATTCAAAGATCGTGTTCTTGCAAATTTTGATTCTCAAATGGAAAATTTATTATCAACACCTCGCAACCCTAGCAGTCACCCAGCAGCAGGTGAAAATCGAATAAATATTCAATATGAATTAATATAATATATGCATCCTATTTTTGATTTTGCAGAAGAAGAAGTTGGGAGTGACGACGACACCTATTCAATTGGGAGCGATGAACTTCCAAACGAGTAAGTTCAGTTTTTGCTACATCTGAAAATTGGTTTAAAATTATTGGGCCTTATGATTTGCCATTTTTGATTTGCAATTAGAGCGCGAAGGTCAAAGGTACTAACATCAAACGGTGTCGCTGGTTTATCCAGAATTATTAAATGTAATTCAAAATTATAGGAATTCTTCAATGTCAACCATGGACTCGATTCCCTCAGACGCTTGCATGAAAAAACTCATGGCTGAAGGCAAAGACCTTACCCAAATAACCGAGGAAGGCAAATGTTTGCTCTCGCTGGCGAGTGCAAATGGTTACTTGGATCTTGTTCAAGTGATGTTTGCCAAGAACCGAGACTCAGTCGATGAACGGGGTCCCAAAAATGACTTGACTCCTTTGATGGATTCCGTTGTCAATGGGCACGAAGACTGCGCCAAGGTTCTAATTATAAACGCAAATATAAACGCCCAAAGCGAAAACGGTAAATCTGATTAAGTCTTTTTCAATAGTTTTTTAAATCTTTTCGAAATGTGATTTTCGTGCTAAACACTGATGTCCCATTTGAACCAATATTGATTACTACCAATATTAAACATTGGTCCCATTCCAAATATAATTATTCATTTATCATTCTAGTTTGTGGAAAAATTTTGCCTGGCAAACTTGCGATGACCTTTTTTTTTGTGTAGGAACCGCTATGGAGGTTCAGCGGAGCTTCTTCCACGCAAAAAATTGATGAAAAAAAATGACTGGCCTGCTATTTTTTGGTACTGGACAATTGATTTTTCTTCCGGTACTACGGAATTCTTGTCCCTTTTCTGCACAAGTTTCGTTTTCCTCAAATAATGTTTGGTGGAAAAGGAGCCTGGTTTAGGCAACACACCTTTGCACTGTGCATGCGCCAATGGGCATGTCAGTATTGTCAAAGAGCTTTTGGAGCGGGGAGCTGGAATCGAAGATCAAAACGAAAACGGGCACACCCCTCTCATGGAGGCAGCCAGCAATGGCCTGGTAGACATAGCCAGGATACTCCTGGAAAGGGGTGCCGGAATCAATGCATACTCCAGTGGGTTTAAGGAAGGTGCACTAACCTTAGCGTGCTACAAAGTTCATTATGAAATGGTCAAGTTTCTGCTGGAAGAAGGAGCAGACCAAGACCATCAAACGGAGGAAATGCATACAGCCCTGATGGAACGGTCATTATGACGTAGCAAAGTTGCTGATTGATCACGGCGCCAAGGTCAATATGCCGACAGAGACTTTCGAGTTCCTCTGACCTTGACAGCTTGTGGGGGGCATCTGCAGCTGGCAAATTTGTTAATTGAGAAGGGGGCTTCTTTGGAAGAAGTGAACGATGAAGGGTATTCACCGTTGATGGAAGCGGCCAGGGAGGGCCATGAGGCGATGGTCATGCTTCTAGTCAATTGTGGTATGTTTTTTGGTGTTCTTAACGAATAAGGATACATATGTAGTCTTTTGACTGATGGATCCATAGCTAAAAGACTATTTATATCTATCAATCAATCATATAGACATGACTAATTTTGATTTGACTTTTAGGTGCAAATGTTTTTGCTCAAACCGAGGAAACACAAGAAACAGCCTTGACGTTGGCATGCTACAACGGATTCATCAATATCGCCAAATTCCTCCTTGGAACTGCGGGTGCCGACGTTGATGGAATCAGCACATCAAGGTCACGTCGACTTGGTGACGCTTCTAATCAAAAGTGGGGAGATACGGCGTTGTCGTTTGCATGTGAAAACGGACACAATGAGGTTGCAGAGCTCCTGTTGAATTTTGGAGCTAGGTTGGAACTTGAAAGCGAGGGAGGAAGAACTCCTCTTATGAAGGCAGCAAGAGCTGGACACGTGTGCACTGTGCAGTTTCTAGTCAGCAGAGGTAATTCTTACTTATCAATTTTAAAGGAGTTCTCATTCATACTGAACCATGCAATCCTTACTTTAAATTTCATTGTGGAAATTTCATAGGACTGGCGATAGCAAAGTTCTAATAATTGTTCAGTGCTATTTTTCCAGCAATTGACTTTTAGAAGCGACATGGTTGGCTATTTCAGGCTAATTGGCAGACAAAATTATTAATAAGTTCGACCATTCTGGGGTTTTGACAGAGCTCAGGAAATAGAAAAGGTTGTAAAAAACTCATCTTCAATGAAGGGTACGCTAAAACATATAGCGAATAAATTTATTGCTTGTTCACTAGGTGCCGACGTCAACTGACTGAGTCAAAAGGAAGACCACACACCACTGTCATTAGCTTGCTCAGGAGACCACAAGAATGTAGTCGAACTACTGCTAGAGCACGGAGCTGACCCCTCAGTGCGCCTCAAAGACGGGTCCAACGCACTCATAGAAGCAACTAAGGCTGGAAACACCCAAATTGTCCGTCTGTTACTCGAGTACTCACCTTCAATAACCGATTCACTAACCGATACTAATGAGTTAATCTACGGATCTGAAATACAACCCAGAGTGCCTACCCAGGCACTTCCAAATATGGTTCCCCCTGCCCAGCAAAACCCAATGTCCCTGAACGTTGCGACCCAGAAAACAAACATGATTCCATGTCAAGTGGATAATTACAACTGTCAACGAAAAGCAAACAACCAGATGTTGCAATAATCCCAAATTCCAGACGTGGTCCAGTCGACCCAAGAAAGTTTCGTAGTGTCGGGACCTCAGCAGCAGCAATACACAAATAACCCTCATGTAGCTGGACATGCTCAGGTTCCGGCGCATGTTTGTGATCACTTGCGGTTAGCCCAAGGTGGCACGATGTACCCTTTCAATGATAACAGCTATAATGAAAAAGGTTAGCTATACAAATGCTGAAAAAATTTCTCAGAAGTTTCATTCAAGTGTTGGTTAATTTGTTATGCTTTGTAACTTGTCGTGACATTAGACTTGTTTTTCTTCGTTGAAAAATTTTTTTTGTACAATTTGGAATATAAAGCGAGGAAAAACAAGACAGAAAAAAATCCAAAATAAGTTTTGACTACCAAATGTAACGAAATTTGAAAAATAGTTGTTTAATTAAAACCAATTGTTGTAAATACTTTTTTGGGCAGCGAATTTATTTAAACTGAAACTGCTCGTTTTGAGTTGGAAATAAATTTGCATTCATTTTGCACATGAAATAATCACAAAAAAATTGCGAAAAATTTGGTAAAGGCTGTAATGTCAAGCTTAAAAAAGCAGAGGAGAATATTTGATACAAGAAAACGCTTGCGTTGAAATTGTTTTTGTTTTACACTTGTCTTGTAATCCGGAACTTAACTTTTTTCCCGTAAACAACTTTTCTTACAATAAATGATCTTGCTTCATTATTGAACCTTAACAACTTCCAGGTTCCTTTTCACTTAAGCCTGGAGGTAACGCATTTGCTTTTGGACCCTAAGGTAAAGGGTTCGAGTCCCGACATGACCTTTGAAAAAAACTTCGGTAAAAGTTGAATTGTCGGACATTCGTTTGTCTACTCAAGTTTTTACGGCTTAGGTGCCATATAATGGATTTCTGTGCTGTAAGCAAGTATCGTGGTTGTTTCTTGGGTTGTTCATCACAGTTTCAGGGGTCAGTTGAATTTTTTTTTGGGTTTTTTTAAATTAAAAAAAAAAAATTTTCGGCTCAACTGGTGTCTGCTCAAAGGTTGTCGGCTTTGTCTCTGCTTCGTAAGTTGAGCTCGTAAGTTTTGTTTCGTAAGGAGGGTCAAGCGTTCGCTCATCGACATGACCTTGCTTTTTCAGTACGTCTTGCCTGGCTTGTTTGCTTTTAATTCCTGTTTGATAAAAAGAAGTATTATGAAGTGTATGGGATTTGGTTTTTATAACTGATTTTTTAGGACGTTCGGGAACAATTTTTCGCTTTTTGCAAAAAAAAAGTTTTTTTTTTCAAAACTACCGTACATTTTTAAAAAAAACTTAGCAATGGAAAGATCGAATGGAAAGAGCTTGTTTGCCTAGAATTCCTGTTTTGAAACTTGGATTTGCTTTTATAACTGATTTTTTGAGAAGTTGGGCACAGTTTTTCGCTTTTTGCAAAAAAAGTTTTTTCTCAAAAACTACACTACTGATTTTTTTTTTAAAAAGGTAGCAATGGAAAGACCGCCTACTCCCTTCATTACTTGATTAATGGCGTAGTTTGTTTTTTGGTTAAGCCCCATGCCTATAGTCTTTCTCGAAAACTGCTCTTCCAAATCTGAGATTTTGGTTTCAATGGACAGGACGAATTGTGCAAAGTTCCCCTGCATAAGCGGATTCGCCCAAATTTTTTAACAGTAAAAGTTGTGGCCCTCGGGATAGACAAAAATTTGAGTTTTTGACTATTTTTGAATCTTTTTGACTTTTCTCAAAAATTACTCTCCCAAATTTAAGATTGTGGGTTTAATGGAAATAGCGGGTGGTCTGAAGTTCTTCTGCAATAGCGGCCACACCTAATTTTGGCTCTTTTCCAGTTCCCCCCCCCTTTCAAATTAAATTTTGAAAAGTCTATTTAACATTGTCATAATGCAATGAAATTTGGCGTGGTGAACGAAACGACAATTCTGAACAGATTTGTTCTTCATACTTTACAGCGTAACATCACGCATTTAGCCGTAATAACACGTAAAATAAACATAAAACTCGGTATTTTGAAAGGGGGAGGGAAACTGGAAAAGAGCCCTAATTTTGTTTGTGGCCGCACCTCGGAAAAGTCAAATGTTAATTTTTGATTTTTTTTTCACTCTTTGATTTTTCTCGAAAACTGCGAGTTCAAACGAAGTAATAAACTATTGTGAAGCACTCTTGCATACATCGTCCAATTTTTTTCACACAAATACTCATTGCGCCCGAAATGATTTTCCTCTAAGATTACCCTCCCAAATCAAGTTTTAAGTCAATCGAAATAACAGCTTGCATGAGTATCTTCTGCATAAGTCACTACGTCCATTTCTTACATAAACATCTATGATTTTTGAAAAGCTAAACTTTTAGTTTGTTGACCGTTCTTTGTAAAATTTTGACCTTTCTCGATCATTAATTTGCCAGATCTGACAATAAGGGTAATTGTTGAAAGCCCATTCATATTGATTGGCTTCACCCAATTTTTTGAGAAAAATTTAAGGCTCTCGAAAAGTTCCTTACTTACGCAACAAAACTTACGAACCAGGAATAACCTGCCCTTTTCAGATTAAGTGTTCAATCGAGAAACCATAGTTTGTGTATTTTTTTGCTGGAGCGGCATTTAGCTACTGTATGCAGAAAAAAAATTATGGATTTCGAAAAGTCAAGTTTTTGAGTTAAACTTTTTTCTTTTCTTAAATCTGAGATGAAAGATGCAACCGAAATAATCTGTCGTGAGAGTCTCTCTGCAGAAGTAGAGAGGCTCTTTTCCCTAGAAATAAATTGTTATGTTCTTGATAAACTTATTAATTTTCAAAAATTTTCACTCTTGTCACTTATTTTAGTAGAGTAAACCGCGAAGGTTTTTGGCAATGTCAGTTTTTTGAAATTACCATTTCGTTTCCCATCAGTATAGCAAGTTCAAAGAATTTCAAACAGATTTCGCCATCTTTAGCAGGGACCCTAGTTGTCTTTAGGCTTTCGAATAGCAAGCGTTATCAAACTGTAAAATAGACTTGGGTTATCATCTTGGGTTGGACAGAATCACCTATATGTTGGTTCAAAATGAATTCAAACTTCTGTGTTGCCGATCAACATAGCATGGAGGTAACGATTATGTACAGGACTGCAAAAATCCTATCTTCGAATCTGATCAGGACCTGCTTTTTTCAAAGTGGAAATATTGTTGCAAATAAAATTGTCGGCCAATTTATTGAAAAAGTTTTGGGTTTTCTCAGCTTCTAATGATCTTCAAAAAAGGGATATCAATTGAAAGAACGCCTACTCCCCTGTGTGCCTGTATACTCCCCTAGAGTCTCTTTTCACTTGACCCCTCTGTCTACAGTCTTCGAAAGAGTATGCGGGGGGACTTTGACCCATATTTTTGATTTTTTTTGTTTTCTCGAAAACTACCCCTCTCAAATCGGACTTTTTTGTTTCAATGATTAGAACGGTTTTAAAAAGCTCCCTGCAGAAGCGCCTACGCCCAGTTTTTTTACACATAAAACAAGGCCCCCGGAATAGTCTTCCATTTTATTTTTGTTGACCGTTATGTGAATCTTTTTGACTTTTCTCGAAAACTAACCTCTCAAATCTGATAACGTAGGTTCAATGGAGATAACGGGTAGTGGAAAAATCCGCTGCATGAGGGCACACACAATAAGTTATCGCCCCCGGAAAAGTCAAGCTTTTGATTCGTTGACCGCGTATGGCTCTTTTCTTGCTGACTATCCTGCTAAATCTGATATCATAGGTTTAATCGAAAGAGCAGATTGTTTAAAGCCTAACCTTATAGTTGGATATGCCCAGTGTGTTTAAGAAAAAAGTAATGACGTTCAAACAAGTCAAAGTTTTGAAACTTCCTCAGCTTTTTTGGAAACTTTGTGACTTTAAGCAAAAACTAACACGTGATTTCTCAGGTGGTGTTCAATCGAGAAACTCAGTTTTGGGAATCTTCTTATTTTTTCTGCTTAAGCGGCCACAATCTGCTTTTTGCATTAAACCATCAAATCTGAGATGAAGTTAAATTAAAAGAACCGCTGGAATAATTGTCACCGCAGAAGCGACGACTCCTTTTTTTGTAATTAAAATTTGTTGTTCTTCTCTTTTTCTTAGAGAAACAATTAAGTTTTTTTGCAAGTCCAATTTTGAAATCATGTTTTTCGTGCCGCATCAGTATAGCAAATTCATTCAATATCAGACACATACCTCCAGCTTTAGCTGGGCCCTTAGATGTTTCTATCGAGACTTACGAAAGTTTTGGTTCATCAAGGTTTTTTTAACATTAGTTTTTTTCGACTCTTTTTGTGTTAGTGTTTTATCGCAAGTGGTGAGAAGCTCCACTTCGCCTCTGTGTAATAAAGTGGTGTTGTTTTAGAGCAAGAGATAGCAAAGAATCTGCAGAAGGAGAGGGATGAGTTGCTGAAAAAGAAGGCGAAGTTGATGAGTGAGAAGAAGGAGATCAGCAAAAATGTGCAACAGGCAGCCAAGCAGTACAGGGAACAGCAGCTACAGCATCACCAACACCACGCACACCAACAACAACAACAGCAGCAAACAAAGTAAGAACCAAATAGCACAGAATGTTCAGAATTCGGTAAATAATTTGATCGAAAAAATTTACTAAACTGCGCAATGGCTTCCTCACACGTTTTCAAGTTCGGTCGATGGTACCTAAGAAAGAAAAGGGGGCAGTTGTCGAAAAATGGCCAAGTACTCCTATTGTATAAAGAGATACCTTCCCGACCGTAGTGTTTCTCATATCTTTTGCTTCTATTTTTGGTAAAAATAGAGGAAATTGTTATATGGGCGAAGGTAGTGTTTCAAATTAAGGAAGTTTTTTCTGTTCTTTATTTACAGCTCCTCGAAGCTTGCACCCGATTGCCAAAACCAACTCTGGCATCAAATGCCGGCCATGCCCTCTCACTTACCACCACACGACTGTCTGGACCCCTCCAGTCAATGCAATCAACAAACCCCAACGTCCGAGGCATCGGGTCAACACTGCTCAGAAATGTTTTTTGA